CCTTAATGCCCATTGACTTCAGTGGGCTCTTGAAGTGTTAGCATTTCAGAAAATCCATCCCTTCTCTTCAGCTGTGTCTACACTGGGCCACTTATTCCGGAAAATCAGCCGCTTTTCCGGAATAAGCTGCGAGCTGTCTACACTGGCCCTTGAATTTCCGGAAAAGCAACGATGCTCTACTGTACAAAATCAGCCGCTATTCCGGAAAAACTATTCTGCTCCCGCTCGGGCATAAGTCCTTATTCTGGAACACTGTTCCGGAAAAGGGCCAGTGTAGACAGCCCAGTAGTCTTTTCCGGAAAAAAGCCCTGATCGCGAAAATGGCCATCGGGGCTCTTTTCCGGAAAAGCGCGTCTACATTGGCCACAGACGCTTTTCCGGAAAAAGGGCTTTTCTGGAAAAGCAGCCTGCCAATGTAGACGCTCCTTTTCCGGAAAAACTGAAAACGGAATAGTATTCTGTTTTAAGCATTTCCGGAAATTCATGCCAGTGTAGACACAGCCTTCATGAAGAATGTGTCAGGGGAGGGCCTAATTCTCCCTCTCCCCCTTCACACACACTGGCTCCACCCTAGTCAAGCATCTCCTGATTTCCCCCAATATGAGGAAAGTAGATCAACATCTTCTATTATTTAATGGCTTTTGTTCTCTGGTTTGCATGCGTCGTACCCCGCAAAGGGGTCAGGGCTGTTTTTCTTTCCTTTTCTCTTTGCCTCAGCCTACAACAAACTCCCTTCCCTTTCCTCACTCTTTAATCTCTCCTCTCTTAGCCTTGAGAAGGGCACTGTAAATTTTTCACCAACAATGTGAACAAATGTGCATTCATTCTTGTCAGCATACAGAGAGCACCTGGCCAGTCTTGGCATTTGCCATGGGAAATAGAGAATTGGAAGAGACGCTTGATTATTCCTTTAATCTTTCTTAATGTTCAGGAATTCTGGCCCATGCATCTTCACCAGCTCCCTTGCATTTTCTAGTACTAATTCCTATTGGGTGGAAAGCTGTTTTGTTTTTGTACGTGAGTCTAATCAGAGTAATAGCAATTCAGTGGAAAATGTCACTTCTAAGTGTGTAGAAAGATTGTGATCAGTGAAATGGCTCTCAGTTGTAGGCAATTTCACTGTGATTATGTAAAAAAAAAAGTCGTGGACCTTCCTTCACATTTCCAGGCCACATGTTCATTCTGGCATCATTCACAAGATTAATGCAGGGGGGGCAAACCTTTTTTCTGTCCTGGGTCACACACAAGCAAACAACAACAATAGAAATCTCACTCAACCTCACCTGTAGTCAGGACTGGATTAACACTTCTGGGTGTCCAGGGCTATTCAATGTTATGGGTCCCTCCCTAGACTCTGGAGTGGGGCCAAAATTAGGGGTTCTGAGTGCGGGGGGGGGGGTTGAGGCAGTGGGTTGGGTGCGGGAAGGGGTGAGGGCTTCAACTGGAGGTGCAGGGTCTAGGGTAGAGCTGAGGTGTTTGGGGTACAAGAAGGGACTCCAAGCTGCTGCAAGGAGTGTAGGAGGAGGCTCAGGACAGGAGACTGGGGTGGAGTGCAGAGTCTAGGAGGGAGTTAGAGATTTAGATGGAGGGGCTCAGAGCTGGGGCAAGGGATTGGAGTCTATTAGGGGGCAGAGGGAGCTTGCAATGTAGGGTGCTTACCTGGGCAGCTCCCTTTTGGTGGTGGGGGGGAAAGCAGGTGGCTTGGTGCAGTCTGCACTGCCCTGTGATCACCTGTAGGCATCACTCCTGCAGCTCCCATTGGCTGTGGTTCCTGTGCATGGATGGAGTGTCCCCCAGCAAGTTCCTCCCTCCCCACAGCCGGGCAGAGCCAGATAACGTGCAGGGACTTGAGGAGCTGCATCCAGGACCCTGCACTAAAGGGGCCTCAGAAAAAAGATCTGGTCTTTGACAGCCTGGAGATCAGGGTGGGTGTGGGACTTTTACTGGATGAGGGAGGTAACCTAGTGACAGCTGTGGGAAAAGCTGAACCACTCAATGCTTTTTTTGCCGCTGTCTTCACAAAGTCAGCTCCCAGACTACTGCACTAGGCAACACAGTATGGAAAGGAGGTGGGCAGCCTGGTGGAGAAAGAACAGGTTAAGAACTATTTAGAAAAATTGAACATACACAGATCCATGGGGCCAGATCTAATGCATCCGAGGGGACAGAGGGAGTTGGCAGATGGCCAGTGGCTCTGCAATGACATTGTCTTTGAAAACTCGTGGAGATCGGGAGAGATCCTGGACGACTGGAAAAAGGCAAATGTAGTGCCCATCTTTAGAAAGGGGAAGAAGGACAATCCAGGGAACTACAGACTGGTCAGCCTTACCTCAGTCCCTAGAAAAATCATGGAGGGGATCCTCAAGGAATCCATTTTGAAGCACTTGGAAGAGAGGAAAGTAATCAGGAATAGTCAACATGGATTCACCAAAGGCAAGTTATGCCTGACCAACCTGATTGCCTTCTATGACAAGGTAACTGGCTCAGTGGACATGGGGTTGATGGATGTGATATACCTTGACTTTAGCAAAGTTTTTGATACGCTCTCCCACAGTATTTTTGCCACCAAGTTAAAGAACTACGGATAGGATAAATGGTTTATAAGGTGGCTAGAAAGATGGCTAGATTGTTGGGCTCAATGGGTAGTGATCAATAGCTCGATGTCTGGTGATCGGTTTCAAGCACAGTGCCCCCAGGATCCATTCTAGGGCTGGTTTTATTCACCATCTTTATTAATGACCTGGATGAGGGGATGGGTTGCACTCTCAGCAAGTTCACAGGTGACACTAAGCTAGGGGGCGAGGTAGATAAGTTGGAGGGTAGGAATAGGGTTCAGAAAGGCCTAGACAAATTGGAGGCTTGGGCCAAAAGACATCTGATGAAGTTCAACAAGGACAAGTAGAGAGTCCTGCACTTGGGACGGCAGAATCCCAAGCACTGCTACAGGCTGGAGACCGACTGACTAAACAGCAATTCTGCAGAAAACGACCTGGGGATTACAGTGGATGAGAAGCTGGATATGAGACAATAGTGCACCCTTGTAGCCAAGAAGACTAATGGCATATTAGGATGCATTAGAAGGAGCATTGACAGCAGATTTAGAGAAGTGAATATTCCCCTTTATTCGGTACTGGTGAGGCTACGTCTGGAGTGTTGCATCCAGTTCTGCCCTCCTCCATAACAGAAAGGATGTGGACACATTGGAGAGGGTCCAGTGGAGGGCAATGAAGATGATTAGGGGGCTGGAGCACATGACCTATGAGAAGAGGCTGAAGGATTTAGGCTTATTTAGTCTGCAGAAGACACTAGCAAGGGGGGATTTGATAGCAGCTTTTAACTCCCTAAAAGGAGGTTCCAAAGAGGATGGAGAGAGGCTGTTCTCTGTAGTGACAGATGAAAGAATGAGGAGCAATGGTCTCAAGTTGCAGTGGGGGAGGCCTAGGTTGAATATTAGGAAAAATTATTGTATTAGGAGGGTGGGGAAGCACTGGAATAGGCTACCAAGGGAGGTGGTAGAATCTCCATCCCTAAAGGTTTTTAAGTCCTAGCTTGACAAAGGCCTGTCTGGGATGATTTAGCTGAGGTTGGTCCTGCTTTGGGCAGGGGTTTGGACTTGATGACCTCATGTGGTCTCTTCCAGCTCTATGATTCTAACCTAACTTTTATATGGTTAGGAAATGCCGAACAGTTATTGTGATTTTTTTGTATGATATATTTAAAATAATTACCAAAATGTGTGAAACTACAGGCAGTCCCCGAGTTATGCAGATCCGACTTATGTCGGATCCGCAGTTACGAACGGGGCCCATCTCCCTGGTCTCCAGCAGACCAGGGAGAGGAAGCAAAGCGGCGGGGGACGCGGGGGGGGGACAACCCAGACACGTCCCGCGTCCGCTGCCCGCGTGCTCCGTGGCTTTGCTCCCCGTCCTCCTGGTCTGCAGACCAGGGAGACGGGGAGCAAAGCAGAGCAAAGCTGCGGAGCCCGAGGGCAGCAGGACAGCCACGGCGCGTCTGGGCTGTCCCGCTGCCCCCGTGCTC